GTGACTGATTCAATTAAATATATATGATAATCTAATTATAATCAAATAACAAAAAAAAAGAATATTTACTTTAAATTTTAATTAATTACTATGAATAGATGAAAGATAATATTCGTCAGAGTATTCTAAGGATGTCGGTAAAAATATGAACAAATAAGAGTTTTACATTATCAGTTTGAGAGAAATAATTGAAAAATTTCTTTTTAATTAAGAAAATAGTCCGTCCTCAAAAGATTATAAAGTGCAGAATTGTATGATCCATTATAATACAATCTGGCGTTTATCTCTGTACTGTCACACTATATTAATAATTATATATAGCGACTCATAAACATGCTATTATGCTTTTCATGTAAAACTTTTGCTTTCGAATATTTGATTTCAAAGAAAATATTAATCTAAATTATAATTTGTTTCTTTATAATGATAGTTCATATTTTCATCTAATACAGCCGATAACTTGCATTTAATTTTAAAATATATTAGAAATCCATAAAACTGATGGCTTCTAAATCTGAAAAAGTACTGACTACCTACACCTTTTGATGAAATGTAATGGTTAATTAGAAAGTAAATATAATATCCAGTAATACGATCTATCATATCGATTATAGTTTTGCCTTCTTTAATTTCACTGATGTCATTGTGAATTAAATTAGAAGTAAACATCATTTTTATTAATATTTGATGTCTTTTGCAAAACATCTATAATATTAATATTTTTCAAAATTTCAGTCTTAATAATTTTCTTACAAATAATGTATGCAAAGAAGATACATGCAGTATAAGACAAAGAAAGTATGTCTTTATTAAACAGTACTCTTCCTTCTCCATTATTATTATCAGATATTGCTCATCTTCAATTGATTTTACGATTAGTTGTAGCTACATTCGGTTTATTCATACTTATTGCTGGTATTCTAGGTAATATTCTTAATATCATTACATTTACTACATTAGATTATTATAAACAAAATGCTTGTTCATTGTATATACTTGCAAGATCAATATTTGATTTAAATATTCTTATTTTTGGTTTGGGAACTCGTATATTGAGTCAAAGTTTTCAAATTGATTTTACATTAACAAGTCCTATTTGGTGTAAATTACGTGTTCCCATTATTTATATAAATACTCTTAGTTCATATACATTTCTTTGTCTTCAATCAATTGATGCATTCTTAGTTACATCTCTATCGATAAATTTACGACAAAAAAGTAATATACAATCAGCTCGTTATTTTCTTCTTAGTTTTGTTTTTCTTTGGATTATCGAAGAATTACCTTATTTATTCTTTCAAGAACTTACTTTTATTTCTGAAAGAAATATATTAATATGTACAACAATTAATTCAATATATGCGAAATATCGTACTTATTTCATTTATTTGTTTTTAACCACAATTATTCCACTTATTTTAATTATTGTATTTGATCTGTTAACTTATCGACATCTCCGTATACATTCAAGAGAAAAACGACATCGTTTACTTTCAATACTTGGAAAACAAATGACAACAATGACTTTATTTCATATTGCAGCTGTTTTTCTATTTCAAGCTCCATTTGCTATTGCACAATGTTATTTTCTTACAGTGGGTATAAGTAATGATCCTATTCGTGGAGCACAAGAACAAATAATTCAACAATTTTTTAACGTATTAGGCTATGGGATATATGCAGTAAGACAATTAATTTTATTTGAAATTTTAAAATATAAATTTTTTTTTCATTTACTAGACGTCTTTCTATTGTTACATTGTTGCATCCAGACGTTTTCGTGAACAAGTATTCAATATATTCTCATTTAATCAACAACCAAGAAACAGAATACAACCTTGATATAGAGAAAAAATTATTTATTATATTTCCTACAGTTAAAGATGAATTTTTTGTAATTTTGAATAAATAAAAATTCAATGCTTTCTTGTCATATGTATAAAAGGAAATATACGCAAACTTATAGGATACATAATATTATTAATATTTTTTAAAGCAGCATAACTTTACTTTTCATTGGCACATCTGTCTATTCCAATATTTACCAATATAATAATGGATTTATGAGAAAGTGTTGATGATTCATAATAGAAGCAACTATTTAAATAGTGTTAGCAAACATGTGGTTATTTATTTCTTAGAGAAAAAATATAAGTAACAATTAAATACGATGGAAACACAAGATAATTGTTTCATTATTGCTGGAGCTGGTATTGGTGGTCTTGCTACTGCATTAGCACTTCAAAGAAATGGATTGTCTTGTCAAATCTATGAACGTGATCGAGACTTTGAATCTCGTCGACAAGGTTATAGTTTAACAATTCAAAAAAATGGATTTGAAGCTCTTGAAAATCTTGGCATAAGTGAAAATGTACGAAAACTTGGAGCTGATTCTATTATTTCTGGAACATCGACATATAATAGTTTTGGTGAAGTTATTTTTTCAAAACCGAAAAAACACAATAATAAACATCGTTTTAATAATTTTGCTGTTGCACGACAATCTCTTCGTGCATGTCTATTGAATGAATTAAATCCCGATGTTATTCATTGGAACAAAGAAATTATTCGATATGAATCTATACCCGAGAATGCTAAATACATTCGAATTATTTTTTCTGATAATACAAGTATAATAGCACGATCATTAATTGGATGTGATGGGGTTCGTAGTTCTATTCGTAAACAAATGTTAGGCGATGATTTGAATTATCTTGGAGTATGGGCTATCAATGGAATATCACCGCATCAAACAAATCCACTTATACTTAATCAAACTGTTCAGATGCTCGATGGAAAATCACGTTTATTTATAAAACCTTATTCACTTGATAAATGTATGTGGCAACTTACTTTCAAAGTATCAAAAGATGATGACATATACGATCAATTAGTTCAAAAAGATTTCCAAGGTCTATTAAACAAAGCTAAATCTGCTACGAAAGATTGGTATGAACCTATAACAAAATTAATACATGATACACCAATTAATGATATTCGTGCTGGTCCTATATACGATAGAGATCCATTAGAAAATATTAAAAAAGATGTTGAATATGTAACAATGTTAGGTGATGCTGTACATCCAATGAGTCCTTTCAAAGGACAAGGAGCGAATCAAGCTCTTATGGATGCAGTTAGTTTAGTACAATATATATTAAAATATGGAGATGATATTGAAAAATCTTTTATAGAGTTCGAAACTGAAATGTTAAATCGTTCACGAAGTTATATATTACGATCAAGATTTGCTGTAGAATTTCTTCATACTGATAATGCTCTTCTAACTGAGAATATGATAGAATTTGTACATGGTAAACTTGTTTTAAAATAAACTTGACTTAGATAACGATTGTTGTTATTACAAAATCATCATATATTTTATATTAAAAGATTATATAACAAGTCTGTAGAAGATTCTATTTAAAAATATTCAATATCTGTATCATTTGTACAAAGTTTATTGTATGTCATATCAAAGATATTTTCATTGATATCTTCATTTCGATGATAATGAATTTGAGTAGTTATATAAGGAAGAAGTTTTTCATATGTATCTGTAAGATTCTTCGAAGCTTTTATTCTGTCTAATACGAAATTTTCATTATCTTCATTATGAGCGCATCGTAGAGTTAATTTTAAATATTTTTTAGCAGCTTGTCGATGATGGGTTTCGGCGAATTTTTTTCCTTGATAATCATGACGAAAGGCAGTTAACATAGTTTGATCTTTTTCACTAGGTAAAATATATTGAAAATCTTGATGTTTTCCATGTAATCGTTGAGGGATACTAATTGGATCTATATACATATTTAAATCTGTTTCTTTTTTTATAAATTTTATTTTATTTTCTACAGTTGGATCTAACCATGGCATAATAATAGACCAACAACTATTAAAAAACCATGAACCATTCACAATAAGTCCAAGACCAAGCGATTCGGGATAATAAGTTTGAAATAGATTAATAAAATTTTTTGCTAAGTGTAAATCCATATTTTTCCTACCAATTCCACCTACATCAATAACAACAGTAAATGTTTCTACAGGGAATTGAAGCAATTTTCGAGATATTTCTAAAGCTAATATAGCTAATTTTTCAGTTTGATCAAGAGAAAATTGCCCTCTGATATGTTCTTTTGCATGAATATAACAAACTGGACGACCGACTTTATCATAACCCATAAAATAACCTTTATTCATTGTAGCTTCTTCAAGAGATATTTCACTTTCAGCTTTACTTAAAAATTCTTGAATTCGAGATTTTATTCTCCATATAAGAAGATTCATTATACGTTGAATTGTTATTTTAATATCCCATTTATTCGCACGAAGCCATCGAAGTAAAACAACATCAGCATTTTCATATGCAATCCAAATAAATAATTCATATCCATAATCAGAATTTATAATACATGTATCAGGTAATGAAGTTTGAATACTAATAGTACTTATTAAATCAATCCAACATTGTTTAAGAGCATTTTTCTGTGTTTTATTAAGATTATCTGAAATAAAAATACATTTTATTTAGAAAAAAAAATAATTCAGATATTTTACTTACTAATATGACCAGGATCGTTTGCGGTCATTGATCTATTCTTTGATACGAATCGATGAAATAAAATTTTTCCTTTCTTTTATTACAAATGACGTTTAAACAAAATAAAGATAAAAAATTAGTTGTATTTATATGGTGTATATATGTTTACGCATGATGACGCATTTATCGATAATGACGCAAAGAGCATATTAATATCTTCTATTGTATTTTCGTTCTATCAGTGCATAATAGTACACCATACTATTACTAAGCAAAAAGTGAGTGTATATCATTGCAGTTAGTTAAAATTATACTTATAAATACTTTAAGTGTATTTGATATTTTAAATAACAAATAAAGATATCCTTTTTATTTTTCTCTTTTTTGATATGAATATATTTAATTGATGTGATGATGCTACTATTGAATAAGTGCTTACTATCTTTTTTCGTTCTTATTGTTCTGCATTCTGTTATTATGATCAGCGACGATTGGTCTTTTTAGAAGATAAAAAAAGTACGTAGTAAAAGAAAAAAGAAAGAATATTTTTTTTTCATTTCTTATCAGTTACCGATGGTATATTATGTTGGTCTTTTTGTTACTTTTGATAATGTTTAGTATCTACCCAAAAGAACTTTATTTCATCATTCGACTTATTCATAAGATATGATTTTGTATTTGAAATATTGTTTTTTTAGATGTCTGATTCTACACAATCTTCACATATTTATTTGAATTCGAAAGTGATTACGCTTGAAAATACACCATCTAATGAGTCTTTTGAATTTCATCAAAAATTACCGTTCTATACAGCTACTCCTCTTAAAGCTGCGCCTATAACAGCGGCTCGTTTAGGTGTTCGTCATGTTTGGGTGAAAGATGAATCGAATCGACTCGGTTTACCAGCTTATAAAATCCTCGGAGCATCTTGGGCTACATATCGTGAATTGGAGACTCGTTTTGGTCCTTTTCAATCATGGTCTAATCTTGATGAATTGAAAGAACAATTAAAGAATATTGATGTAACTTTAGTCAGTGCTACGGATGGTAATCATGGTCGGGCTGTCGCACGTATGGCCAAATGGCTTGGTCTCAAAGTACATATTTTAGTACCTTATGATATGGTTCATTCTCGACAACAAGCAATCAAAGAAGAAGGAGCTCAAATCGAAGTTGTTAATGGAACATATGATGAGGCTGTGGCCAAATCTGCTACAATGGCAGGAGAAAAGTATTTAGTCATTAGTGATACAGCATGGGAGGGTTACGAAAGAGTACCCAATTGGGTTGTCGAAGGATATGGAACGATATTTCGAGAAGTTGATGAACAATTGAAACCACAACCTGATTTAGTAGCAGTACAAATGGGTGTTGGTTCTCTTGCTTCATCTGTCGTTCGTCATTATCGTTCGCTGAATCATACTACACACGTTCTTGGTGTCGAACCAATGCACGCTGCATGTGTTCTTCATTCTTTGGAAGCTGATGAACTAGTAGAGGTACCAGGTCCACATACATCGATAATGGCTGGTTTGAATTGTGGAAAGACATCTCCACTTGCATGGCCTCTCTTACGATATGGACTGTCGGGGTCAGTAGCCGTCAATGACAGTTTTGCAGAAGAAGCCATGCGTTTATTAGCTCAAGATGGAATAGTATCAGGAGAAAGTGGAGCGGCTGGTTTAGCTGGTTTACTCGCTTTATCGACCGATAGTACACGTCAAGCACTGGGAATCAATCCTAATAGCAGTTTGTTAATTATTTCAACTGAAGGTGCAACAGACCCTCAAGCATACGAGAGAATCGTCGGCCGTTCACATCATACAATAAAGAATTAAAATTGTATTTCAATAAAAAACATTAAAAAGAAAATAATTTCTATTAAATATATACTGCGCACTATAATCAATTAACATTATCTTTAGAATTTAGGATTACGAATAAAATGAGATTATAATCATTTCATTGACACATATATTGTTGTCAAAGAGAATTGTAACAAGATATATTACATTCTCTACATGCATCATACATTTATATTTAATCTTTTTTTTCACTTTCCATGAGTATCGTTCAAATTCTCTTATTCTTTCTTATCTTAGCTTTTCTTTATTTATTACGAAGCTTTAATTTTGCCCGTAATAGTCAGGAATTAATCACCTTCATACGCTATTATCGTTCTTTCTATTAGAATCGATGTTCTCAATTCATTAAAATTCTATAATCAAAAAACAAAAAAATGGAGTATATATTTTCCACTGATGATTACGAAAGATTTATCAAATGTCTTGTTAATCTTATATCCATATTCTCGAATATTCGACTTATAAAATTAAAATAATCCTAAACTTTAATTTTCAGTGGAAAGGTATAGAATGTTCTAGAACACCTACACATATTCATGATATTGTAAGCTAAAAAATATGATAAAAGTATTATAAATATTAGTTTTATATTTTTTGCAACACAACATAATACAGATGTGTTTCCTATCTGATTTGAAAGTTTAGTACGATGAAAATCAGGTCTTTTTTTTTATTCAGATAAATATACAATAATATTGATATAGTTACTTTTCATTTCCTTGTTTTATGTTAATCATAAAATTAAAATTATCAGTAAAGCATTTAGTTTTGTCTGATATTCTTTAACTATATATAGAACTAGTTTTTATACTTCTAAAATTATTATAATGCATTGGCAATTGTTATATTTTATTATATTATTATCAATAACAATAATTCAATCAAAAACAATCGACGATTGTTTTTATGCTTCTATAATTGATGATCGTGATCCAAATGAGAAACTTTTATTTCGAACAAATTATTTAACACCATATTGTCGACATCCATTATCAATCGATTCTATTAATAAAATACAAGGATATATAGAAAATACATATACATTTAAAAATTTAAGTTTAAAAGGAATTACAAGTGAAGATCTTCTTCAATGGTCAATATCATTTGATATAATTGAACAATATTCTATATATCTCATTGAAAATGATACAAAATTTGATGAATTTATTTTTAATAATTGTTCATCATTATGGTTTGGTTCGAATTGTCAATATACATTTAATTTTAGTATGTCTATTGAATCATTTGGAGATTTTTTAAATTCGTCGTTTAAAGCTCGTAAACAATATAAAAAAAAACTATTGATCCATACTTGTTATCTTCATTTGTCTGGATGTTATCGTGGCCTTGAGCCGATGTGTTTAGATTGGCGTGAAATATGTAATGGAAAAATTGATTGTATTGGAGATAATTTTGGTATCGATGAAGAATATTGTAATGAACTTGAAATAACTGAATGTAATGAAGACGAATATCGATGTCATAATGGAGCACAATGTATTCCACATGAATTCTTTCGTGATGGTGCAACAAGTAAAGATTGTTTGGATGGAACAGATGAAGCTGAAAATTTGAAAATATCGGATTTTTGGGCTAAGGATTACTCTTTAGATTGCATCGAATTAACGATATTCGCTTGTGAAGAGAGAACATGTCGTCAACCACATGCATTTTCATGTGGCGATGGAAGTTGTTCGCCACTTTATCCCTATATTAATCTTGTTGAAGATAACCCGGAAGGATGTCCAAGTACAGGTCGTGCTGTCTACTATAGTCAAGCAATTTATAAATCAGCCAAACAATATTCGAACGATTGTTATCTTTTATTATTCTGTAAACTCGGTTTTTATGATATTCTCAAAAATGATACATACAATATAACAGATTGTTCAAGTGAAAATTTATCATTAAAAAATTGTACATTAGAATATCTTTCATTTCCTCGTGAACCTATTCTCAATGGTTATTTTCAACCTATGTATTACACTCGATATTTTAACAAGCCCGTTATTGATAAATGGCCAGCATACATCTGTACTGATCCACGATTATGTTTACATTTACCAAATGCAACAAGACATATCAATGGTTTACATTGTCGTCGAGCTCCTGTATATGACTCTGACGTTCCGTTTTTGTCAATTGCATTAAAGGAAGATGCTACGATTTGTGCATTCATGGGAAATATTAATGAATATAAATCAAATTCATCTTTATTTTATTGTGAAAAATCTCGTAAATATATATCAAAACATCGTCTCATTGATGGTATTCCGGATTGTTATTATGACGAAGATGAAAGTTATAGTGCTAGTTGTTCATTAAATGATACTCAACGTTTTAATTGTACATCAGAAACAAAATGTTTATCACCTGTAGGTATTGGTCGTGATCAACCTCAATGCAAAGATGAAGAAGATGCAAAACGTGACAACTCAGAAATACTTGTATATTCACGTCTTTGTAATCACGTACTTAGTTATCCAGAATTATCACCAGAAGATGGCGAAGATGACGAAACCAATTGTGAATGGTGGCCTTGTCATACACCATACACTCGATGTGATAATATCTTTCAATGTGCTAATGGTATCGATGAATTGAATTGTCCTAATATTAATTGTAATATTAATGAATTTAAATGTCAAATTAAGAAGTCAAGTAATTATTATTGTATTTCTCAAGAATATATTTATGAAAAACCAGTCGATTGTATTAATCATGATTTTCATTCTAGTCTTTGGCGAACGATATTTTATTCAAATAATTTAACTTTTAATATCAATCAACAATATATCTCATGGAAAGAAAAAACTTGTTTAACAAAAAATGATATTTGTGATGATTCATCGACTAATGATCAACAATTAATATGTAATATCGTTGAAAAAGAAAGCATTCGTTTTAACTCGGACTTCTCAATAGATTTGTATAATAATGGAACATTATGTCAGCTGGCAGATAATGATGCTATCTGTGACCCTGGTTTTTATTATTTTTCTACATGGAATTTAGGATATTTTCCACCGATAATAAATTCAACATTATCAACATCTCAACCATTTATTAATACTAAGCTAAAGAAAAAAGCTCTCAAAATTAATACCAGTATTGAATTAATTGAATATTGTAATCGTGGAATTGTTATATTTGAAGGAAAATCTTACGAAAAGACATGTTTATGTCCACCTAATTATTACGGTGATCGATGTCAGTGGCAAAATCAACGTGTTAGTTTAACACTTCAAATACGTCCATTAGGTTCATATGAAAAAAAACTTTCTATTTATCATATTTTTATTTATTTAATTGATGAACAAAATGGAATAATACATAATTATGAAGAAATAAATTATATTCAATCAATAGATTGTAATACAAAATACAATCGTTATTTACTTTATCCTGATCGACCAAAAAATCTTAATTATACATATTCAGTACGTATAGATATTTATGAAAAAGTAACTTTAAGTTATTATGGAAGTTGGCATTTATCTATTCGATTTCCATTCTTACCAGTTAATCGTATATCAACACAAATTCGTATTCCATTAGAAAAATCTCAATTATTAACAAATTGTTCAATTCAATGTGAAACAAATGGAAAGTGTTTTAAATATATTAATTCAACAAAAGAATTTTGTCATTGTGATCAAGGTTATTCAGGCCGATTTTGTAATATAACATATCAGCATTTATGTTCATCTGATTCAATTCCTGTAAATTCATTAATTTGTTTATGTCCATTAAATAAATTTGGCTCAAAATGTTATTTACAACATAAACATTGCCAATCGAATAATAATTTATGTCAAAATAATGGTCAATGTATATCTGATAATAATCATATACATCATGATGGTTTTATTTGTTTATGTCCTGAAAATTTTACAGGATCTTATTGTGAATTTCAATCAAATAAAATAAATATTAATTTTAAAATCGATTCAATCCCATCATTCATCATTGCACATTATATAATTGCATTTGAAGACAAAACACATGAAAGAATAACAACGTTTAAAAAAATTCCATTTGATCAATATTCAATTGAATTATATTATACAACTCCATTTAATTTATTATTTATTGAATTTTCAAAGAATTATTATCTTACTGTAGTAAGAGAACAACCAACTTCATCTGAAAATATTTTTACAAATATAAATCAAGATAATAAATGTGAAAATATAACGAAATTGTTAAATTCAACAATACTTAATTACACAAATCTTCGTCGATTAAAATATTATCAATTACCATGCATAGAAAATCTCAGATTAAAATGTTTTTATGATGAACAATATATGTGTGTTTGTGATAAAAATCGATATTCAAATTGTTTTGATTTTGATCATAATACACATTATAATTGTCAAGGTAATAATTTATGTGGAAAGAATGGTGAATGTTTTCAAAATAATATAACTTGTCCATCAATATCAATATGTAAATGTAATAAATGTTATTATGGAAGTAAATGTGAATTAAATACTATAGGTTTTAGTTCATCACTTGATATTATATTTGGATATCACATTAAACCATTTATTTCATTTACAAAACAATCCACTGCAGTGAAAATAGCAGCATCAATAACAATTTTAATGTTAATATTTAGTATTATTAATGGATTATTATCTATATTAACATTTAAAAACGAATCTGTACTTAAAGTAGGTTGTGGAATATATTTATTAACAAATTCATTTATATCAATATTAACAATAACTATATTTACAATAAAATATTTTCAACTTATTGTTTTTCAAATGAAATCTATAAGAAATCTATCATTTATTAATTTTAGTTGTATATTAACTGATATATTATTAAAAATTCTTCTTAGTTTTGGTGATTGGTTAAATGTATGTGTTGCTACTGAAAGAACATTTACTGCTATACAAGGAATATCTTTTAATCAATTAAAAAGTAAATCTATAGCTAAATATGTTATACCAATAATATTCTGTTTAATAACTATATCTTATATTCATGATCCAATATCTCGTCGAATACTCGATGATAATGATGAACAAAGAATATGGTGTATTCTTGAATATTCAACAAATTTAAAAAAATATGATAAATTTATAAATATATTTCATATTTTTATACCATTCATAATCAATATATTATCTGCTATATGTATTATTATTCAAGTATTTCGAATACGTTTAAAAATAAAGAAAAAATCAAAATATAAACAACTTCTTGTTATTCAAATTCAACAATATAAACATCTTCTTATATCACCATGTATTTTAATAGTATTATCTATTCCTCGTTTAATTATTTCATTTTTATCTGGATGTATGAAATCAATACGTAATCCATGGATATATTTAATCGGATATTATATTTCATTTATACCACCATTACTTATTATTGTTTTATTCATTTTACCTTCAAAAACATACAAAAAAGAATTTATATCGATTATAGGAAAAATAAATTTTTTCTCAAAATAATAATCATAGTTTCTTTTTTATTGACTTAAGAAGATCCTCTGACTATGTCGGTTCTAGAGGAACAGTTGAGCTAACAAACTTGAAGCAGCTTGTAAAAGCAAGAGAAAAATTCAATGGATTGCAGTAAGCAAGCAGACAAACATACACTGTCGGAATCACACATGGCGAGAAGGAAATGCAAGCAAGAACAGGAGAAGCACGGTTATCAAGCATTACTCATTTGAAGTTGTTACTGTTCTTTTTTCCTCTTATTTTTCATAATCACCATTCATTTCTTCCTTTTTCGACATGACCTTTCAAAGTAATATCACTCGGATACTTAAAAAATTTCTGAAAATTAAGCGAAGCGTGTTATTTCCTTTTCATTACATATTGCTACTGAATCTGAAGTACCGTAAGATGTCATTCACTCTAGCACTTTTCCTAATACATCAACATGACATACAAATCTTCTCGATCTATATAAACATTTTATACCTTTCCTCATTTCACCAGTAATTTCGAATACAAACGTACAAAATATATTCTTTAAATCAATAGTCGAATGTACTTATGTTAATATTATTAACTTTTATTCTTTTCTTTTAAATGAAATAAATTCGAATTTGTTGAATTCTATACGTATTTGATTATTCAACATTCTAATATCAATTAACACTTACAATCAAAATGAATACAATGAATCTTAGCAAAACCGAGAAGGGTATGAGGTAATAACAACACCCACACCGACTCACAAATACCTTACACTCTCAATCAATGAAAATCATTTACTTTTCAGTTAGTAGATATGTGGCAAGTGAGTCGTCGAAAACAATTATGTGCCAGGGTAATGAAAACGATTTTTCATTGTTTTGTTGACTAAAATATCAAATGTACTTGTTCCTCGGGAATTTATGCAATATATATATTGTTTTTTTATTACACGCGAAGATAAAAATAGTCAATCCATGATTGTATAGTAAAAATATTTCTCTACGACTGATGAAATATATATTGATAAATAATCTGCTTGATATTGGTTTATTTCACCATTTGTAGATGAAATTGATGAGAATAGATTTTTTCAAATTTTATTATAATTCAGAAGTCCCGATAAGCATTTTTTACTTATTTATAATTTGAAGGTGAAATAATGAGTTTAGAATACAAAATAGATTATATAATACAATTACTACGTAAAAGTTTGTCAAATTTTCGAGAACTGCGCAAATACAAGTTAATAGTACAACAAGTAAATATTATTTGAACGACAAATACCATGTGGATCATAAATAAAAGACACGGCTTTGTAGATGTGTGCGGGTGAACAAGAAGATTATCAACATTCATATTCACACCCACACCCTCAAGAAATAAAGAGAATGACGTTTTGTATAAAAATGATCCAAAAATATAAATATATATTATATATTTATCAATGACAAAATGCTTGCCAAAAGATGAAGACTAAGACAGAACTGCAAGATTATATTCAGATCTCAAATTTCTCGCGAAATATTTTTCATTCCCGTCAGAGAGAATGTCCCATTATTTACAGGTCTACGACAATATTCCTTAAAAAAGAAAAGGAAAAGTGTAGTCTGATGAAATTTATTGTCGTAAAGAATGATGATGTGTGTGCGTGTCTGTCGTTCTTTTTCTTTATATTTTCTAAATTGAAAAAATAGAGCCAATAGAAAAAATTCATTTATGAAGTAATCGAGTTTTTTCCCACTATTTTTATATATAAGAATAATAGACGTTGAATATACATTCAAAACGCAGTCTATTCACATTTTAAACTCAACTCAAATAAAACGTCAGTATACTATTTGCTTTTTCGATTGTAGTGTCAATCAGATCGATCTTATCAAGTAAAGATAGAAATGGCTAATTTACCAATCCCACAAGATATTTTTAGTCGACTCACTTTTATTCATGAGTATGAAAAAAATCAGGATGGAGAGAATAATACAGTTGATCCAGCATCAATAATCAATGATTATCAACCTCATATTCTAACTAATTTTAATCTCAGTCATCATCTTCCTCCAGATCATCTTGCTACACAACTATATCGAGATGCAATGACAGTTCCCGCCGATCGAATTCCTCTTTTCATACCACCAGCAATTGGTACAAACTTTCCCATAGGAGATCCAAATTATATTACTCAACCAAGAAATACCTCACTCTTACCTGCTTTAATCGCTGCTCAGGCTATTAAAGTGGATTTTCGTCAATATGATATTGTGAGTGAAAGAAATTCACTACGAAAAATCGCCATGAACGTAAAAATATATGCCGTAGGAGTGATGCGTTATGGCAAGACATTATTGCTTAGACGTTACGGTAGACGATCTGTTAACAGAAACGATGTAGGAATTCTTTTCGAGGAAATGTGTACACCTAACTATCCTTCAGGTGCTGAATACAAATATTTAATAGAAGGAAGAATTGGAACATTAAGAACGTTAGTAACAGCGGAGATTGATGCTGTTTCAAATGGAAATAACCAAAATAACAATTCAATAGAACTAACATGTCGAAAAGAGGAAAAATTTCAAAATAAAGTTGATGTATGGTTACAGACATTTTTAAGTAAGTTTGATGATTCCATAGAATGTTATTATTGAAAAGAGGCTTAATGGACGATATATTCGCACTTTTTTAGGTGGAACAGCAACTCTCAAGGTAGGTCATCGTAGTGCTGATGAACCAATACGACTTCTTGGTATGAACGATTACAACACAGAAGATTTGATTGGCCAAGAAAACAAAATAAGAATTCTACAACATCTTCATCACGTGCTTTGTTTCCTCCAAGCAAATGTGCAAGAAAATCGCAATTATATATTTTATCGTCATCCACGTGATCAACCACCGAATGATATGGGTTTATTCTTATACGAGATAACCAATTCAAACGACGTACATCGTTTACAATTCATCCCAAAATGGATGCTCAAACAAATGTTTATTAGAAATGAATAATTTAACTTTTCCTCTTAGTTATCTTTATCATTATGACATTCGCTTTATACTTTATACCTCAAAAATCTGCTTCTAAAATATGTTAAGCTGTTCCTTTGCTTTGAATTTTATCTATCAAATAAACAAAAACATCAAATCGATAATAAGGTGAATGTGTGGTGGATGAGAGTGTGAGTAACATATTTATAAATCAATCTCACCCTCATTCTTCTCACTGGTCTTAAACAATAGATTTTAAAAGAAAAACACCAAATTCTCATTTTGATGTATACAAAGAAATTTAAATTAATCTAGTTTTTCTTTAAATGGTCTAGTAAAAATTAGTATTAATAGAATATACGTAATTTTGATTGAAAATTGACAAAAATAGATAGACTTATGTTGTTTAACGAAATTTATTAATATTGAAACATAACAAAAGCTTTCGAGTCGACAGGGTGTGGGTGTGAACCATAAATAGAATATCAAAATTCGCATCCACATCCACACCCACACCTCTATCTATGAGCGTTACTTTGAAGCAGGTATGTAAACTGGTACAGTGAATCGATCACATTCATTATTTAATAATATCAGAGAGCCCAAGTAATAAAGCTTATTAGCACAGTCCTGTGGGGCTAAAAATGTGGAACTCACGTATGTTCGCATCAAAATATCTGATCACGTTTAAGTGTTTTGTTTTCTTTTATTGCTGAAAGATAACATGTTGGTTGCTGTTAGAATCGTTTCATAGGTGCTGTTATAGGTTTGATATACAATAGTGTTTGAGTATAGTGTGTAGGAGCTTTTAAGGGACGTGATAATCAGCAAGCTTGACTTCAAAATTTACCGTCTTCAGTTTTTCTGAAGATATAAGTGTCCATAAAATAATTTTTTCCATGATTGCCAACATTTCTACGTCATAGATGTTGATATACCCTAACTATTAGTTTCAGTTAATGTTTTATATATATTACACTTTACTTTTGAGCTTCTATCAGTTTGATTCTTAATTGATTTTTTATTCATTTTTGTTGTTGTTTAAATTGAGCGTTGTACTTTAGCTTGATATATTTTCTAGTTAATACGATGTCCGTACCAAGAATATGATGGCGGAAAGATGTTCATGTCAAAAAAATTTCAAAATATATCAAGTTAAGTAGTGATGTTCACAAGTACTTTATTTGACTTTGTGCAAATGAATAAATATTTAGTTATTCGAATAAAATATAGTATATTTTTATTTACATTGAAGAAAAATAGAAAAAACAACTAGTAGTGTGATACTTTATTTGATATATTTTTTATCTATATTTAAATTATGTAGTAATTATTTAGTTTCAAGGTTCAATTTTCTAGCTGTTGTTGAGCATCGTCGATAGTTTTTATTAAATCCAAGAAAATTTAGTTATTTTCGGTTGTCTGTATTAGTATCCAGCAATTTATGCCTATTTTTAATCATTTTCGGCTATTTTTGCTCAAATTTAATTAATTTATAGCTATTTTTGACAATGTTTAGTTATTTTTATTAAATTTGCAGCAGTATATAGCTATTTTTAGCGATTTGCCGTTATTTACATAAAAATTCCCGCAATTCATAGCTATATTTAACGCTTTTTCATTATTTTTATTAAATTTGGTGGGGGGGGGGGGGGATAAGGGAAAGGGTGGGGAGCTGGAAAGCTTGAACTTAAAACTTACACTCACGGTTTTCTTCGAAAATTTACGTGAGTTTCACAAAAACAAAGTGAATATGTTACATTTATTCTCTTAGTCGTGATTTCGACATCACACTTGTGTGTTATGGTTGTTAACAATGTATACAGGATAATTGTGGAGGTGCGGATCGATTTGTGGGGTATTAAGGCATTGTACTTGATTTTGTTGACCTTTGCATCGAACTTGGCAGTAGTTGAATACACCATATAGAACTAAGAGGAGTGCACAAAAGCAAATAATGGAGTAAATTGTTATTGCATAAGCAGCCACAGAAGGTAAGCATCGTCGAATTTTTGAATCAGAGATCCACGAAAAACCATTAAAAATGGCTATGATAACCCCAAGTGAACTAAACCCTATCGTCGTCATATAAATATAAGAAAATATTTTCCCATCGGTCTTGCAACATGGTGTAATTGTAAGGATCACCTAGAATGGTCAAAAAAATTGACTTTTTTAATGGATCTTTTAGAATTATATTGATCGCTAATTGAAAACTACGCCACAAAAGACAATTTTTCATCTATTACAATAACTAAAGAAATATCGAAAAAATAACATTTAGAGTCAAGTTTCACACGCTCATGAAATTTTCATCATCAGATGTGACGCATCAAATTGTTGCATCGGGCTAAGAGCAATATTTATAACTTTCTTTTCAACATTGCTATTCTAACACATACAGCGAAATATTACGAATAAACCTTTGGAAAATATGTTGAGTAACAATTCTGATTATTATAAAAGCACATTCTATCGATCTGTGTTACTTCAATTTAGTTTTTTTTTGCATCAGTCTCATTCTTTTCGTTATTGTTGAACAAAATATCAGATGCTAATATGATTTGTTACTGATGAGACTACCAACATTACGGAAAGAACTTACAAATGTAATGATAAGAACACTAGAACCCAAACCAACAGAACCACAAGCAACCATATAGCTCAACAGATTTGTTCCACACGTTGAACCTTGCGAAGAAAAGTGCTTTCCAATAATAATAAATGCTAATGAGTTCAAGAAGATACATATGCACAGTATCATGATTATGACAGCACGAATAGTATTACTCAAGAATGCACCTAAAGCAGGCACAACATTTCTAGTCCCATTTGGATCGTTGAGATTAACGTCTAACCGTCGTAAAAAGAATCGTTGTGCGCAGGTAGCATGGGCAATATTATAGGAATGAAGAAAGCATGCCTATAAAAATAGAAATAAAAAGGCTCAAAACAATCAAGAAGATATAAATTTCATATTCAATCACGCACAACTATATTTAAGGGAAACCAAATGACGGAGTCCATAGGAATAAGTCGTTGATAGGAAAGAATTTTGTATAGAATCTCATACAGTTTTCACATCCCTTACATTTTGATTGACAAGAATAATACTAATTATTTCTATAAAAGTTTTTGGATTCGTATTCTATTTTTAATTTCCATGTGTTCTTAGTTTAATCAATTATAAAATATATAAATTGTAGTATAGAAGACAAATAATCAATTAACTGATACAGTTAAAATCTAAACTAAACTTACATCTAGTTCTTGTTTGATAAAATCCGGCAAACACATTTCCAAATAATGATAAACTATCTTTATTCTTTGTTAAAGGTTATTTTTCCCAGACACATAAGCTTATGACAGTCACTTCCTTTTTTCCAACAAGCAGCTTATGACAG